CAAATTAGAACAGAACCAGATCTGGGTTACCATTAATGAACAGGAAGCATCTCCCACAAAAGATATTTTGCCATCCTTAGCTTGTTCAGAATTATCTGTAATTTCTCAATTATCTGCTTCAACTATTGAAACTTACTCCAATGAAGAAAATTATATAGGCCCTGTGGATCCAAATCTGGTACAAAATGTTATATCTAATCTTGGCGAAATTGAGAAAAGCTCAGAATCTGCATTATCTATCTGCACAGAAACTAAATTATTGGAAGATAGGGAGATTAATGAATTTCTGGACTCAACGCATAAGGAAATGATTAGTAATGAGATAAGAGAAAGAAATTGGGAAAATAAGTTCAGATCTCAAGACCCTTTATCATATGATAAAGATATTTTGTAATCTAATAAAAACAAAGTACAAAGATTTATGTTAGAAGTTTCTGAAAACTCTAGTCCACAATTACAATATACCGATTCTATTATTAGCAAAGTTAGTACAGCTAATGGTAATGTAACTCAGAATGAAACAAAATTTCAACCCAGCAATGCTAACTTTACGCTTTTATATGAAAAACTTTGCAATGCTATAATTCTTGCTGATCGTAAAACCCAAGAAGCTATAATGTGTTATTGCCTATTTGGAAAGGCCCTTATTCAAAGACATAATGAAATAGCATTAGAAAAACAAGTTGATCCAGAATCCAATATTGTTAGTAGAATTTTAAATAAAGAAATAAAAACACAGTTACCCACAGATACTTCTGATAGCCTTTTATGTAAGAGAATCAAAAAAGCAAAGAAGCTTTATAAACTTTTTGATGCAATAGATATGGATAAAATTTATTGCATTCATTCTGTTTCTGCTGACAGTATATCTAAATTAACGAAGAAGAAAATTCAGTATATTATAGATAATGTATCCTTTGATTATAGCATTCAAATTGAGTTACATAGTGATGAGAAAAATCCTAAGCATATGACCCAACTTTGTGAACTGAGTTCACAAAGTGATAATGAAAATTTCTTTGATTTAAAAGTTGAGGTAAGTATACCAACCATATCTCAATCCAAGAAGGATTTATTAGAAACTAAAGAAGATTCATTTCCTGAGAAGATATCACTAGAAAAATTATCAAAAACGATTTCAGAAGAATCAGCCAAGGCAAGTGTATCATCTAATCTGACCCATGACCATGCTTATTTTCATAATAAGATATTGTGGGGATATTCTGATCTATATAAAGAATTTAGTAGTGAAAAATTTGATTATTATGGAATTCATAAGGAGTCATTATGTCGAATATGCAAACAAAGTCATGAAGAAGAAAAAAGTATAAAAGGTAGATACGAAGCTAGATCCTATTTCATTAAATGTAGTAGGCATAAAATTGAGATAACAGCATAAGTCATCCAGATATATTATTTTGTTTCAAATAATCATAAATTAATTAGACCTGAAAGGTCATTGCTTTGCAATACTATATTTTTTTAATTACTATTTTGGATATACACATAAGTATTCTTGTTATATAAGTGACACAATTTGAATTTGCAATCATATAAAACAATAATATGGATAAAGCCTATTTCAGAGAAATGACACTTCATGCCTTAACCTCTGAATACTTGAACTGGCATGCTAAATTGGTTGATTCACCGAGTCATTTGTCAGATAAAATTCGTTTGAGCTTATATAAAGCATATACGAAAGAGACTGGACTCGATCCTTGGATAAAGTGAAACTCCTGAATCCCCACAAATCGAAAAGGATGCTGAAAAAAAGACATTATTTGTACCACAGATAAATATTCAGCCTACACTATCCAAACTTCGATCACCAATTTTTGTTCTATCTAAAAACCCAGAAGAAAGGCAACAACACGTTATTGAAATAGTATTAGAATGATTTTCTTATTTAACTTTGAAATATAGTTTTAAATATAGTAATTATTTTGATTTTAATAGATCTGTACTCTGTTCTATATACAATAAAGACTATAAAAAAGAAAATATATGAAATAATATAGAAAGTTTAAGGGGGAGTAGTGATTATGTCAATACAAAAACTTATCATCTCTATTGTTATATAAATAAATATCAGAATGCAATCCCAATAGCAACTATAAGAGCATAGATTAGCAAAGCTAGTTTCACTAATAAAATTAACTTAATAGTCTCTACTAATTAATTACATTGTAAAAAATGGCAAAGCCACAGGACCCCTCTTTATTTTTTATAATAATTGTTGCCAGAGACAATATACAGATAAAATATTTTTATTATAAAATAAAAAAAATAAAAAATATATTTATGCATCAAAGAGAGGTTTACATTTGATTATTCCTCTTTAGAGAATATGAGGAGGTGAATAGAACTGTTTTCACTATATTGATGATCATTAATATACTCATTGTTAAAATACTCAGAAATTTTTTTATTTGATCTTATGAATTCACCTTTATTATTACGACTATTTACTGAAGAGATTAAGGAATAGTTAGGTTGAAAAAAATCAACTTTGTACAGATCAAAATCTTTTTAAAATAAATTTGATTAGTTACTTTTAATTTCAGTTTTCAGATTCTCAATATCCAAAGTCATATTAACAGTTACCCCAAAAATATCTTCGAGGGTCTCACCATGAATAAAACAGTTAAAGGTAATATTATCATTGATCTTGGAGGTGGTGTTATTATTAGTGCTCATTTTTCATTCCTAAATACAAAAAACATAGTAAGTAAAAAATTGTCTTCATAGACTGTATTAAACGGTAAATCTATTACTTTAAAAATAAACAGGCAAGTGAACCAAGTAAAATATATATGAGCAAAAAATAACATTATTACTAACTTAACTTAACGTGGAAACTTGCTTATTTTTATACTTCTCATTTGCTAGATCTAAAAAACCTATCAGAAAAAAAAGTTACATGATTAGTAATTGCATTACTCTAATACTGCCAGACCACACTTAACAAAGCAACTCCGTTTCGGTTAAAAGGTCTAAATACTGAATCTATTTTGTTGTTTTTTTAGGTAAATTAAGCTCCTTAGATTCGACGATCACACATGCGAAGTGAAAAAGTTAACGATCTTGATGATCTGTAAATTTCAAATCCCTGTAACATATGAATTTTGATAAAACTACTGATTAAGAACATTATACTCATTACCCTTATAGCCTTTTTAAGTCCTATTCTTATCGCAGGATCATATAAAGTAAGGAAAGGGCCTAGACAATATTCACATTATTCGAAATTGACTATGAGAAATGATTCTGCAGAAGAGTGATACTGTATAAAATTTAATGCAGGCCATTAATTATTAAAGCCAGTCAAGATTTCATCACCCATTCGAACTGATAAACCTGAATACCAAGTGATCACCTGCTTAAGCAGATAAGCGAACCTGTGAGACCATTAAGTTCTATAACAGTATGATATAATAAATTCAAAATGATCTAACAGCTATGAAATTAAATTATCGCTACGTGTTGTGTTAAAATAGTACACACGTATATTTACTGATAACTGCTATTAAGTCACTGTTAAAGTACTATTGGCTTTTTGTTAATAAATACATATAAAATTGTCGAAGCCACTGTTGAAGTGCTGTTGAAGTACGTGTTTGTGCATCCGTCTATTCTACCATTTTCAACCCGAGTTCAACCCGTGTTTAACTCTAGTTCAACCTATATTTATATTTTATTATATATTCATTATGAGAATGAATAACCAAACTTCAACTAGAGTTCATACTATTTTCTATTTTGTCGCTCAAAAAAAATCATTATAACCAAACTCAAATTGGTATTATATCTGAAATTTTGTATAATTAACTGACTTCGTATGCCTCAGATTTGTATATCTCGGATTTGTTTATCTTGACCAGGATAATCTCAAATGGTGAGTGTCATATATTCCTATTACTAGAAAATTAAATCATATGCTTGTAATACCCGAAATAGATCCTTCAAACTTGTTTTATCTAATAAAGTCATTGCAAACCAGTTCCACAAACACAATTAATTTCCTGCATGTTTATTATAAACCTAGCATAATTTATACTACTTATCTAAATTTGTCGATCTGGGGCTGGCTTAATATAGTGTGTAAAATTATCATCGTACTCCGTATAAGTATGCTTAACAAGTTATTAATGATCTAATCCCAAATATAAAAAATATGCAATTGTTGGCGTGTTTAATAATTGTAGTGCCAAATATAGTAAATATATAACTGTTAGCATAGAATTTATCATGTTAAATAATTATGACATAAAACAAAGCGATATGTAATTGTTTTATAGTGTTAAATTATTGTGGTGATACGCAATTGACTTCAATACTGAATATAACAAACATATTATTAGTTTATTGTATAAATTTTCTAATAAAAGGGTTTCTTTCAATAAAGAATCTAATTTATTTACTTTTCAACCCATCAATATTTACCTAATATTTTTTTGCCTAAGACAACAATTACAATACAAATATAAAATAATAAATGAAAGGGAGAGGTCATTGTATCACAGGATAAACCTACTAAAACCAATTTCTCGAGACAGACCTATACACATAAAAATAAAAACTTAGACATAATCAGAAACAAACTGAGATGCTTCACGAGCTGGATATTGACATTTTTTTGGTAATCGATAATATCGTCTTCGATCTATCTTGGTACCGAATCCAATCCGCCACCTAAAAAATATCCACTAATAATAGTATTTATTATTTGGAGAGGGAGTGAACAAGTGTTCCTCTCTGTTCTTCAGATTAGGTATCATCCAAAAAAAATAAGACTCGGTATAACATATCGGCCAGAGAATTGCTAGTTGAAACTCTAATTAGAGAAGCAAAATCCTCTGACAGTAACTCTCTTGAGTTGCCTGAAATTCTGTCAAATTTTTTCTCTCTAGTTTATACTGACATTATTAGAGAGACCGATATCAGCATTGAGGGATCATCACCTAATACTACTAATAATCAATTGTGGGTTGCTTTCGGCCAGTGGTTAGGCTTAAAGAGACAGGATGGTCTATCAAAAAGAAAGCATGTACAACAGCACCTCAGGTTGTTGTGGAAAAAACTTCAGTACGGTTATGATATTCAAAGTGATAGGGACTTTCAAGAACTTTTCGATACAGCTACTGCATATAATATTCGAAGAGAAAAGACTCATCTGATCATATCAGCATGTTATAATCTCCAATCAATAAGTAAATTGGTTCAATTCAAATATATAACAAAATCAGAGTGTATTACGGATCCAAGTTCCCTAGCTCCAGATGGTCGTACATCTTTGGCCAGAACAAATCATAGTATTTGCCTTATGTTTATTACTCCATAACAATTTTTTAGTTACTAAGGGGATCCGGCATAGTGTCGTTTATTTCATACATGACACATTTTTCTATCATTTACAGAAGTTTACTAAAGTTTATAAAAAGGCTGGAATTGAAAAAGGTAGTAGGCCAATAGTTTCTGAGCAGGACCTTAATAATGCTCAAGGTTTAAACCATCACGAGCAACTTTCCAAACTGAAAGCAAAACAAATACAGATCCCTTTCACTGTATCTGATCAAAGACGAGGATATATAGGTATGGATAGTTTTATTATATATAGACAAAAAACATAGTTATTAATAATCAATGTTTTCTCTAGATTTAGCACATGCCCGATAAGGGTTAAAGGCAGAAGATCTACTTCAGTAGTTATGCTTTATGTGATATATGTATAGTTGCCTCCAAAGTTTAGGATGGTTATACAATAAACTTTAGTAAAAAATAAAAATAATAGAAATATAATAAAAAATATATTATAAACTATACATGTGCATACAACTCTTTCCGTCAATCACTCGTACAAAAATTTTCCTAAAAACAACTCAACAAATTTTTATTTTTGCAATAATTTACTAAGACAGCATTATTTTTTGCCCTAACAAAACTTTCTCTACGTAGAAAATTACATATAATA